CTATCTCTCTCTATCTCTCTCTATCTCTCTCCATCTCTTTCTATCTCTCGATCTCTCTATCTCTCTCTCTAGCTCTCTCCATCTCTCTCTATCTCTCTCTCTCTCTCTATCTCTCTATCTCTCTCTATCTCTCTTTCTCTCTCTTTCTCTCTCCTTCTCTTCCCCTCTCTAACTCTCTCTCTCTCTCTATCTATCGATCTATCTATGTATCTCTCTATCATCTACTTGCATGTGCAGGACTACATGCTGCCAATCCGCATGACAGACCCGTACGAGAGTAGTGCGGCCCTTGTGGCTCTCTGCGTGAAGTTGGAGCAGTTTCAGGGAAGCGGCGAGGACACTGCAATCGCCCAGCTTACCCGCAGCATCAGCGTTCAAATCAAGCACTGACAGTGCACCATGTCCTGTGATGCCTTGTAGACTTGTGACAGACGGGATGTGATGAAATGAGATGCCTTTTGACATGAGACTGGTGTAAACTAATGCCGTATTGGTGCGCGGTATCTCGCTTCGTCGTCGCCTCATGCTTCTGGTAAAACTTGCTAGCCCGAACCCGGCCACATGCAGCCTGAGTATGTGGTCGAGGTACACGGGCATGTGCGAGAGCGTACCCACGTGAAGTACTGCATCGTCACGACTGCGGCAGACGGCAGGCAATGGCAAGTGTATCGACGCTTCCGTGACCTTCTTGAGCTCCACACTTTGCTGAGATCAACACTCGGTGACTCTCGAGCTCAGTTGCCCACAAGGCGTGCCTACGGCTTTGGAAAGCTGATTTTCGGGCAGGAACAAAACGTGGATTTCATTCTGGAGCGCCAACATGAGCTGCAGACCTACTTAAACTCGACGCTAGCAGTGGACACCTCCTTGTCCTCGGGAGTGCGCCTTTTTCTGGGTTTGCCTGCGCTGCCGGACTACTTGAGCCTGGAGCCTGAGCTTTGCTTGCCCTCCGATGTGGGGAAGTGGAAGACTCGCAGCAAGTTCGACTTGAGGCTTTTGCGCACGCTGTTCAGCTCGAAGTTGTCGACAGAGCGCAAGGCTCACCTGGTGGATGTGCCGCTGTCCGTCGTGGAGCTTCATGATGTTGCACAGACCGTTTCGCACATGGCCGGCACCGCCACGACATGTATTTTCCGGGCAGCCTCTCGAGCTGTTGCTGAGAGCGTGCGACGATCTCTACCGGGCTTGCTTGTCGGTACTGCGCGGATATATGTTTTATGTTCTTGGCAGGGGCGCCCACCTGCCCTTTCCCTATTCCATCCGCACACACGAACCTTCGATGACCTTCCAGCTCCTTTGTCTCCCTACTCTGCGGTGGCCTCGCGCAGAGGGGACCTCTTCGTGCTCACAGCCGAGGATCATGTCGGGAACAGTGGAACTGCATGGTCCAAGCCGTACCTCTGACGGACAGACACTACTTGATAGTGACTTGTAACTTGCAGAGTTGTGTTGAATGTTACATTGCGATTCCCGATCACGCTACACCGCCGGAACGTGCAATCCTTTAGTAGTCGCCGGAAACCATCCTGAACTTGCTGCTCTCGTTGTCTTGGTTGAGTTTCCGGCTGTCTCATGATACGACACTATACTACGTCATGTGGTGTTGCACGAGGCTGTTTTCCACGCTGTTTCCAGTTGGCTTTGTAGAAATAACTAGATGTCTGTCGAGGGCGATCTTGTCACGGTGCTTCGGCGGTGCTTCGCAAAGTCTGAGGCGGTTTCTGCGCTTCGATGCGATGCGGCAACAGTGGCACCCGCTTCCTCCGCGCCCTGGCGAGAACAGCACGCGCTTTGCGCTGGCAGCAGCAGGCCAGGCTTCGTGAAGCTGTCAGGGTGGTGCAGTCAGTCTGACGATCGGGCATCCCACCTGTTATGCGGATGCACCGCAATAGCTGAATCTTTTTGGCTTCCGTTTCGTGGGGCCAGGCTCTGGAATCTATGCTGTCGGTGGGATGAGACACTTGGATAGCAGCTGGGATAATTTTGTGGTTATGCTTCTTGGTGAGCAGGAACTTTCTCCGCGCAGCATGGCTCACTGTCAAGGGCGCTAAGGTTACCGACAAATCATACAAGCCCGCAGAAGTATTTACATGCAATTTCCCAAGCTGCATCGGGAGCTCGCTCTTGCGTGTAATGGGCTGAAGGGCCACTGCACTCCCTTTACCTGAAATCCAACCTGAACCCCAAATGGGCCAAGACCTTGGTCACAACCCTTATTCGCCCTAACCCAAGCACCCTCCCCCTAACTGCTACAAAGCCGTAGACAGACGAGTCCTTGTCTCCTACGAAAAAGGCCGCCGGGGCGTGGTCGGCTCAGCGCACCGATTCGACGTCGGCACCGGCGCTTGGGAGGCCTCTCCTTTCACACCCCGGGCCACACATCTAGAGACGGGTAAGCATATATATATATACACACATACANNATATATATATATTTATTTATTTAGATGCATGGGCGAATACATAGCATTAGCAACTCTTCGCACCTGTCACGTTGGCCGTAGGCACTCCCACCGATGGCCTGCCCGCGTTGTGACATTGCCGCTGCGATCTGCGGCGGCGAGGTTTTCGTGATCTCTGGATATTATGGGAAGGCTTTCATGTGAGCAACTTCTCACTCTGAAGTCGCAGAGCAACCAAGAAGTTACGAACAAAAGATTCCAAGCCCAGCAATCGCTGTCGCCTATGTAATCTCTGCAGCACTGTAATGTCACTGTGCGTCCAACGCAACCAAGGATTGGTGGTACTGAAACAAGTGGTGAGGCGAGCAGCAAGGTGGAGTGCCTCGCTGTCGAGGCTTGCCGATGGAGACGCAGCCTCAGTCGGGTGCTTCAATCATGCTAGTTTGCCAACTTGTTGTTGCGGCTTATTGTTGATTCAGTTTTGCTACAAGTATTTGGGTTGGGGAACACCTTCACACTCGTGGCCGCCGTGACATTCAAATTTTCAGGATCTGCACCTCCGTTGCTTGGACCGCGACACTCGGCAAGTGCAGCGTCTCTGGGTGCTGATCTCTTCGTCTTCGGCGGTGGGGCGGTGGCAAGGCAGGGCTTGGCAGGGCTTGGTGAACTGCCTCGCGATCTCTGCACTGTCCTGCCCCATGGCAGGGACCACCTCTTGGCGGATGCGGTGTCGCCCCCTGTGGCCGAGCGCTTCGCCGAGGGTTGCTGGCAAGCACTGGAAATCACGGCTCTGCGCCGGCACGGCTGCGGCGCCGCCGCTGCTGCCGGGCAGGCTGGAGGGCTGCTGCTCTTTCCCATTTGTCATCACATGGCAGCCGTGGCTTCGTCAGGTGTTTGTCTTCGGTGGCTATTCTTCAGACTTCGCGGATGTGGACCGATGGGACTCAGAAACGAAGCAGTGGGACATCCTTCCACTGCCTGCCAGACTCAGAGGGGTCTGTGCGGCTGCAGTAGCTGTGTCTTAAAGACTGCTCTTCAGCTTTTCCCGCACACCTCATTGGGCCTGGAGTGCCAGAGCCGAAAGGCTCGGGCGAGCAGGCGATACTTGATAGTCTCACGTGAGCCGATCGGTCACGAAGGTGATTCCTGAGCATCCAGGCATCATCTGCAACAACTTGCAACATCGTAATAGGAGTACGTAGCAGACGCAGTGGCAGGGTCAGGGCCCGCTAGCAGCAGTAGCAGTAGAGGTGTAGTAGCAGAAGTCGTCGTCGACGAAGAAGAAGTAGCAGTAGTAGTAGCAGCAACAGTAG